GCTTTCTTAAAGGCAAAAAAGTTTTTCTTGTTTTTTTTTTTGCATTAGAAATATTAACCCCTTAAGGTTTTCTATTTACTTTTAAAAAATTATGACAAGTTTTCAAAGTTTTCTAAATTATTCTGATGTAAAAATAAGTATCTACTTAGTTTTATGTATATATATTATATATATATATATATATATATAAATATTCGGTTTAGGAAATATCAATTTTCAGTACTTTTCAATTTAAAAGTTCATAATTTTTGGTTATTAAAAACAATTCATCATTTCTTTGTAACTAAAAAATTTTTATAAGGACAAATGTGTGTGTTCAAGCTTTAAATATAATTTGGTGAAATCTCTTAAATATTATTTTTGGAGTTTTGTCTTTATAGAAATTCGATTTCAAATATTAAGTACGAAACCGAATATATATACGTAAGTGCTTGAATACGTAAGAGGGCTAATTAAAGAATTTCATGTTATTAAAAAATACATTCTTGCAAAATTACCTTTACAGCCCGAATCGGAATCAAGAAGTTACTATCAGGGATTCGGGATAATAGAGTGGAAATATAGGAGTCGAAGACAAGAAAGCGTAACTAAAAGGCAAAATTTCAAGGTTTTTTCAAGTTGCCCCCAACCAACCATCGTTTATTGTAATATATCTCATATCCCAAACAAACTATCCCAGTTCCAAGTAAATAACCGGAGGTATCTCTCAAGGAGTTGGACGAGAGCTTCCAAACACTGAGAAAACGCCGCTCAAAGCATCTGTAGTTTTTGTTTTGACAGCCAGAGCGGAACAGCCACACAGAATATATTTGACCGTCTCCTCATCGAAAAACGCACGAAGTAAACAAAATCTTTCTATAAGCACATGGAAATGTATAAGATAAACTGATTATGTGACTAATACGTGTGCCATTGAATGAAATTCTACTCTATCATTTGAACGGCATAATTGTACGTTTATATATAAATAAATACCCAATTAATCATATTTTCCAATAAATTTATTTGAAAATATTGACATTGATTTGTTGCACACACATACATAATTATTTAAATAGCAAATAAGTAATTACACATTTATTGTGCCTCAAATATATATTATGTTTAAATATATTTTACTTGTCTCTTATTTAAACACGCATACGTACAAAAATATTGTGTTTTAATAGCATAGTATTAACTAATTATATATGATTAAATATGTATTAAATTACAATCTAGCAGGGGTCAACAAAATATTGCTGAAAATTTTAGTTTTTTTGTTTTTTTTTGATTTTATACACTTGAACTTAATACTAATAATATCAATAGTTAACGAAATTTGAAATTGGGTTAGTAAGGTAAATATTTAAATATTTATGAACAAAAATAAAATATCAGAAAAAATTAAGTGTGAGTGTAAGTGTAGGTAGCTATGCAATATTTTTTGATAAAGAATATTAAAGCATATGAAAATCAGATGTGCTTACTTGAATCTAACATCATGAGAACATAAGTTCTATGTTAAACTACGAGTCATAACCAAACGTTCATTTGGCAAATAATTAGAAATGCGATGAAAGATTGTGGAATTATTTGCAGTTTAGAAAGAATATTAAATTTAAAGAATTCAAGTTATTTACGATATTACGAAATGCTAAATTTACGATAACAACTGTTATTAGTGGCACGTGCAAAGGTTTAGATTGAGTAAACCTATTAAGGCATATACAACCTAAGTGTTAAATGAATTGCTCTTGAAGTCAAAAGAATTGTATAATTACTTATTAATGAAAAACTAGCTACTTTCTTATATTGAAAAGTGATATGTTATCCAGTAAATAAAACACCGAAAAGTCAACAACAATTCTCATACAAAATGAAAATGAAAGAAGTACTTGAAGTTCCACGGGAAGTTAGTCGATTTATTCCAGCAGATAAATAGCTTTAATATTTCTCTAATTATAATATTCCAAATATTTCAGATTTAATAGCCTTCACTAATAAATAAACACTAATAACTTGACAGCCGTTTAACTTAGAGTATAAATTAGTCATTAGACACTCGTCTTGCATATTGCCGACTCTAAATTTTTGTTCCTAAGTATAATTAATTGAATCTAAGCTCTGGTTTTAGTCAGTAACTTAATAAGTAAGATAATTACTAAGTATCTAGTATTGAAGTAACACTTATTTTTTAAAATAATTCAGTTTAGCTATAAATCGCAAAACAAGTTCTTACTAATGATTAATTTAATTTATACTCTATTTACCTACATAATCATTTGTTTGAGAACATGTGAAACACCCTGTATATTTAGGATATTAAGGTTAATCAGAATAAAATAAAACAAATAGTCAAAAGCTTACCGAAATTTGAAATCAAATGAAACAAAATTAATTTAAAAAATATATTTTTCTTTACTTTAAACAAAAGATTTTTTAGTAAGTCCCAGATTCAATAAAAATTTCAACTAAGATCCCCTAATAAATTACCATACTTTCTTTCATGTCGTAAGTTTTCACAAAATTCTTACACAAACCCAAAATAAATTTTTCACTTTTAATTCATTTAAAATCGATTTACTTGGATCTTTACTACACAATTGAAAGACAAAAATTACAACATAAAATTTACCCAAAAAAAACCTTTCAAAAGAAAAATGACTAAAATTACTTTTTCTTATTGTTGTTTTTTTTTTTCTTCTTTTCTAAAATATCCTTTAAAAATTCAAAATCGTTTTAATATAAGTAAATATAAAAATTATGCCAAAAAGAAAAATTGTTTGTTTTTATAAATTTTGGGACATTTTCAGATTTAACGATAAAAAAATTCGTAAAAGAATGAGTACGTCCGTCCGTCCACGTCATATTCAATTGTTCCCTTCCGCACAAATATCTTAAACATTGCTGAATATTTTTCATAGTTTTTTAATGCTGTTGCTATTTTCTTAAGGTGAATGTTTTATTGTTCGGTCACTTTTACCACTTTTCCTTAAATCATCGTATTATCAATGTTCTATTAGAAATTAAATATTAACGAATTTCCACGAAAGTTACATAAAGTATAGACAATGAAATGAACTAAATAAATAATTAGAAACCCACCAAAATCAAATTTCAATTCGAAGACCAAATATATTCGCATACTAATTTCACTAGATTTCAAATTTTGTAAAAAACAGCTAATTAAACTTAATTTTAAGCAACAAGTAACATAATGTTTGTACCAAAGGAATAACTATTGAATACAGCCCTTCAAAGTAAATTTAATATAACAGGGTTATTAATAGTTAGTTAAATGTAACTAATTTTAAGTATGCTCTTATATACCATCACAAAAAGATTTATGGGTTTGCAAGCAGATCTTTAGATATATTATGCAAGTAAGTGGAGTCAATATTCATAAATCAATTCCAATTTTTACCGACCGTATTGTGTATACAATAGGTAGGTTATGTGATGGCAACAAATTTTGCATATCGAGTTTTCGGTGGGAATGCACTTCTCCATAGTAGGGAAGTGTAAGTAAACTATTTTTAGCAACTTGTCGGTCCATCGGTCTGTCGGTCTGTCGATCTGTGTGTGCACGAGTGTATCTCAAGTTCGGCTGAACCGATTTTGATGAAATTGTATATGTAAGTTTATTTCGACCATGGCACGGATTGATCAGCTTTTCAGATATATCAGGCCTTGGGAACTGCACATTTTAGCGGGCCCGTTTTACATTTTTGACCATTTTAAGGAAAATATACAACCGATTTACTTCAAATTTCATATATAAGCTCAAATCGACCGTCCGCGAAACCTCCTAACTTTTGGAAGAAATCAGACGTCAGCAACTAGACGTTTACTACGGGCCAAATATACATTTTTGCGTATATAAAGAGAAATAATCAACCGATTTCATTGAAATTTAATATTTAAATTCTTCGTATAAAAACAATTAACATATAAATTTTTAGAAAGATCAGGGCTTGAAAACTGTTCTGCGGGCCGATTTTACATTTTTCACCATATCTACAGAGCGAATTGATGGAATTTCTTGAAATTTGATATTTGAGTTCTGGTTGTTACCGAAACTAACTGGTGAGCATTTCAGAGAATTCAGGTAGCACAAAGCGAAATTCTACTAAAAGCCAAATTTACATTTTTCTAGGTATGTTAACTATAAGCTTACTAATGTCCTAAAAATTGGAAAGAAGTATTTAACAGACATTTTTATAATATTCTGTAACATTTTCACTTAACTAGATAATACACATTGCGGTCGATTATTTGCTGACCACATCAGATTTTTTTTTGTTTCTTGCATTTTTTAAAATACTTCATTTGTGTATAAATAAAGCTATGATTAAAAAAGATTTTTAAATTTCAGAACAAGGTCTATTTTACAAATTCATAATACGAACATCATCACATGATTTTAGAATTGAAAAAATTTGAAATTTTAATTTTCCATTTTTTTAAAATTTCTTTTATTTAAATTTTCATCATTATGCTACATTGTTTAGATTTTAGAAGATATTAAGAAAACTCATTACATACAGATTTAATTTTCTTTATAAGTTTGTACTTATGTATAACACTATTTTTCCTTCAATAAACTAATAAATTTCTATTTCTTAGGCATTTGAAAAAAATTGAAGGCCCAAACCGAATCAAATGCCACGTTTCAATAGTACAACTCTTATAAAGCAGTATTAATTTCAATAGTCATAATAAGCAAACTAAATTTTTTAAAATACAGAGTCATTCCCATTCAAAAGACAAGCACAAAGGCAAGCCTAAAATATTTTATCTTTATATATTAATATTATCTAAGTAAATAAATTTTTTTCTCATCTTAAGTAAATATATTAAGTCATAACAATAAAAGTGAGAATAGTATATAATGTGCTTATCTCAAAACATTAATTTTAATATTTACTTGTTTTTTTTTTTTGTATTTTTTTTTTCACTTTATTCTATATAAGATTATATAATAATATATGTTTTATATAATAAGTATTTATACTTACATTTCATTCGTTTTTCCTTATAAAATATATATATATATGTTTCTATATATATATGTTATTATGTATTGTTATTTATTTATTTATTTATATATTATCAAAATATATAAATATGTACGAATATCTCTGATAGTAAGTATATATATGTATAAGTAGTAGAATGTAATACGATGAAAATATAAGAATCTTTAAATCCTTGTAGCTGACTACATAAGTATATGTATATGTAAGTATAATATGATGCTATTTTGTTTTGGTTATGTTTTTTTTTATTTTTAAATTATAATTTACTATATTCGTATATTAAATGTTATGTACTTTATTTATATTATATACATATTTTATATTTATATATGTGTACTTGCTATGTACACATGGAGTTAGATAAATATGTATATATATATATATACCAAAAAAAAAAAAATTTTGCCTTGTATCCTTTTTGTTTTCCTTTTTTTTATTTTTTTGTATATCTTTTAATATCGGGTTCGGTTTTTATTAGATATCCTTTTGTATGCTTGTATATATATATATATTGCATATAATATATATATCCTTCTCTTTTTGTGTTTTTGTTTTCTCCTTTTAATTTTGTTTATCTCTGTAACTTGTATTTTCTTTTTTACTGTTTTTACTTTTAATAATAATATAATGATAATGATATTTAGAATAAGTAATACATACTTTCAGATTACAATGTTTGTATATATATATATATAAATATATATATACATATATATATATATGTGTATTTTTGTAATATATAATTATTTCTTATATATTTTAGTTAGTACGTATGTAAATCTGTTTATTTAATATAACATTCTATATATATATATTTTGTAGTTATAAGTTATAAGACTTAAGGATATTCGAAAATTTTAAAGTAAAATTTCTATACATTCACTTTAGTTACTTTAGATATTCAATTTAGAAATTTATTTAAGATTTTTGATTAAATTTTTTAAGTTTAATTTAAAGTTTATTTATATGTCGTTGCTTTTTATATATATATATGTATATATATATTCATACTTAAATATAATAAAGTGTGTTAAGTGAAAGGTTATAAAAAAAAATAGAACTAAAATAGAAAAGATGTAAGAAAAATCTGGAAAATTTGATCTTAATTAATTTTAATTAATTTTATACACCATAAATATTTCTTTATTTAATTTTATTCTTTTATTATTATATTAATTTCATTATTATTTTATATTAAAATTTTCACATTATATTAATTTTATTTTGTTACCTTTTTTTTCTAAAAACCCTTTTTTGATTTAAATTTCATTAATTTAAATTTGATTTTGAATTTAAAATGAAAAAAGGTGAAAACATAATTTTTATTTATTTTAGAAATTAGATCACCAATATAATGTGACCATGACAAATAAATAACACCAATTCGGTAATTTGATATTTCAAAATTTTTTTAAAACACTTTTATTAATTATTTTTTTTTTCTCAATTTTATTTTATTTTAATATAAAATACCTTTATAATTAAAATTTTATTTCACTTTGTTGTTTTTTTTTGCAAATATTTCAATTAATCATTGTTATGATTTAATTTAATTTAATTTGGTTTAATATTTTTAGCCTTTACAAAAAAAAATAAATTATGCAAATTAAAATTAAATAAGTATTCAATTACAATAAAAAAAATAAATAAATAATTAAGTACTTAATATGAAAAATTATAATATTTTCCTGATTTAAATGAGGTGGTATTGAAGAATATATCTGATATTTTTGTTTTTATTTTTGTTGATTGAATATATTTAAGTTTCTTTTATATAAATTTATGTCTAAATATAAATAAAAATAAAATAATAAATGAAATAAATAAAAATTAATATAAAAACGAATATAAGTATTCTGATTTTCAATACTACTTAATTTTATGTAATAGATTCGGCATGCCGAAATATTAGTTTGAAAAAACACATCTTTTTTGGCACAATAGACCAAGCGGAAAAGAATATACAAAAAACTTGACTTGAAGTTACAATAATACGGGTAATAATAAATAATTCAGCAATTTAGAATCAATAAACTAAAATGTATATAATTACATAAGGTTACGTTTTTACCTTTTCATTTTTAATCGAAAAATCATGAATTAAAATATATTTTGATTAAATAAATTTATAAAAAACATTACTGCTAAATATCTGAATTATTCAAAACAACTTAAACACGATGGCTTATTGTGCCATATTTATAAAATATCTCACGTTAAAGTTGGATTTGTTGCAAAGCATGTCAATATTAGAGATACTAATCTTATTACCATATAAATTACACAATTAATTGTGTTAAATATTATCTCACAAATTGATAATACATTATTTCTAATATTCAAATTGTAAGTACTTAATTACATTTTGAATAAATATTGCATGGTACGATACACAATTCATCTTAAAAATGCAATAATTAGTTAATTAATTGAGTATTCTGTGAAACTGAAATTTGAAGATTAAAATTTCTGTTTTGCTAGTTTTTGAGCGAAAATCTAGTGTTTGCTAATTTTTGATCGAAAATCTAGTGTTGAAAATGTTATATTTTTGAATTAGGATTATTGTTATCGTATAAACCAAAGTTCGATAATAGTTGTTGAAAAACTTAAAATATTTTTTCAATTTACATTCATACTTAAAGCATTTCATTCAATTATTTTGTAATGAAAATAATTGCACGTATCAGGTGTGCATTGTTCTTTCATAAGACTGTACAAAACAAACCAAAATGTCTAATGTTAAATGCGAATTTTGGAATGAATCGTATACCACCTAGCGTTAAAAATACTTATATAAGTACTCTCTGTATACTCTCGTATACGCTTACACTGTGTCAAATTCAACTTGAAGTCTTATGTTTGCCTCCATTTATTTTACAATTGAAAAATTATATGTTATATAAAATAATAACTACCTAAAAAATAAGTACAGTAATAATTATCTACTCATGTAAGCAATTGTAACAATAAACTTTCAATAAAGTACGTTTATTTTTTCAAAAATTTTTATTAATGAAACCATAATGTATTAAATAATTTTTAACACACATTCATACTTGTGTTTACATAATTAAGTTATTAATAATTTCTTTATTGTTTTGTTTTATTTGAAAACACCCCTCCCTACAATAACAGAAACTATAAATAAGAAATTAAATAAAAATTTTTATAACCTACTGAACGTGTGTTCTTAAATAAATTCATTGAGTGAAAGTAATAAACAAAAATATTGTTATTATTGTTTAGATTTAATTAAAATTTTCATTAACAAAATAATTCTGTTTTTCCAATATACTTACTTATTATTTTAATAAAACTTTGTTAACTCACACCAAATTATTGGTTTTACTTATAGTTTTTAGCAAATCTTAAATAACAAATATAATTTTTGGTTTTTTATATTGCCTAACTAAATAATAAGCAGTAGAGGTGAGAATACATAGAAAGTTATAATATATAATTTAATTAGGTTCCATTAACTATAGGATTTCGTATTGGATTTCATCAATTTTCTTACAGCATTTGAATTTTTGGAAATGAAACAATAAACTCACAATACCTTCCGAAAGTAATCATTTTACAATCATAGAACATGTGCTTATTATAATTAATATTTAAGAATATTGTATAATAACAAAATACGTTTCTAGAACCATAGTATTTTACTTTATTTATAACAAAACATAAGAAGTATTTAAGTACATAATAATTTGTAAAGGAAATCCTATTACTAAAGAATTTATTTCTTTAAATTTCAATTAAATTATTTGTTTTTTTTTTTTTAAATTACATGCATATATGTATATTTAAAAATATTTTAAATTGAATTTTATTATCTTAATTAAGTTGTTTATTATTCTTAAAATAAAACAGAAAAAAAAAATTTGCAAATATTTTTCGAATTCGAACAGGGTGTGCGAGTAAAAATTGAGCACTTTTTATTTTATACCACTGATTTTATAAGAAAATTCTGAATTAAATGCTGACTTAAATGGACGAAGTTATGCATGTATGTTCATAGTTATTAATATGTAAGCATAAATACTTAACAAATAAGTTGGAAACATATAATATCTTCAACATTCGAAAGTTTGATTGTAAATAATACTTAAGTTCAAGTTAAACATAAATGAAAACTTAGGCCCTTATTATGATTGGCGAAGCGAATGAAATTTTTGGTATTATGATTACCGAATTAGCCTAAATTTTAGGTGAATGAGCTGTCAAATCTGTCGAATGAAGTGTGACGACTTTGGCAAATGAAACCAAAAATCCAAATAGTACATAAATTATTTTTTATTGGATATTATATAGTTTATAGTGATATAATGGAAAAATCTAAACTATCTGTAACGTAAGTTCTCCAAATTATTGTAAAAAACAATTGATTGTTTAATATTAATTTAATTTCCCGCAAACCCTATTCCGTGATTGCTAAAGGGATAGGAAAATTCAATTGTTTATGCAAAATTTCAATGTACATGGTGTTAACCTTATTATATTCGGTAGGTTTTCCGATGTTATGCAGTAGCAACATTTTGGATCTAGCGAATGAAAGCATTCGCCAATCATAATTTAAAATGTTACTTGATTCGCCTAGTCGACTCGCCTTGCAATTCGCTTCGCCGATCATCATAAGGGTATTAAAATTCCCTTAACTTCACATCATAAGTATATTGCTTAACAGACCTTATTTTTGTATACTTATGAATTAATGACTAAAAATTTACTATTAATTAATTAATAATCTCAATATTAATTATATTTACACACTTAATCAGCGAAAAGAATTGAGTTTTAAACTAAATTTTGATATTTCAGATTAATTTATTGAAAAATTAAAAATTTGTTTAAAATTTATTTTTGAAAAAGATATATGAAAAAATACTGAAATATCGAAAATCAAAGCAGATATCAAAAATTGCAGTTAATTAATACAATCATTATATAAATTATAATAAATACAAACAAATAACAGTTACTTAACAAAAGGTCAACTTTCAAAACAGGTAATAAAAATTTCAAGTTTTAAAAACAAAATTTTTTTGAAAGCGAAATTTCGAAATTTTAATAAGACAGAACTTTAATTTTATAATTTATGCATGTAAATAAGATTAATATTGATTAATAAAATTTTAATTGGTTTATTATTTATTTTAAGATTCAGAATTTTAGGTATAACGCAAACAATAGAAATAAATTTTCAATTTAATCGACGATTCTATCATACAGTTATTTAAGTGCATTGTTAATTTCAATGCCAATAAAGTACAGTTTTAAATGCATAATTTAAGAACATCGAAAATTTACAAGAACGCTAAAATTAAAAGGTAAATATTTAAATTATTCGGAATATTAAAATCAAATTGAAATTTTTCAATGTCAATTGAAGATTAAGATGCAGACACACACCAATTTCAATAAATTTTGTTTTGAATGGTTTTTAAAATTTATGAGCATCGAAGTATATACAAATTACGGAAATATGGTAATAAAAATGGAAGTAACTGTCATTCAGAGCAGCGGTACAATTTATTACATAAAATAAACGAATAAAATTACTTAATTCCGAATCAGGTTTTTGCGTTTACTTGCACTTAATTCAAATAACCTGTACTGCAACCTAACTGATATTGTACTAAAATTTAGAAAGACAGATTAAATGTCAACATCCTTGAACAATTACTTACGTTTAAATATTTAAAATT